TTTCTATTATTATGAATAATATTTGATTTCTTCATCCTTTAAGGATATTTCAGTAGATAAGAAATTAAGCATTTATAATTGGAATTTTTAAATTTAATTTCTTTTTGTTTATGATAAGGGTGTTTTTAGATTAATTTTTATGCAATTTAAAATTAATTTTTTGCATGCAATCTTAAAGCCACACATTTCACGTTAATTTGATGCATTTAAAAAAATTAATTTTTTTAAGTGTTGATTTCAAAATTTAAATCTTAAATTTATCCTAAAAAATAACACTTATTTACTTATAAATCTAATATTTGAGGTTTTAAATTTTAATTTTAGATAGATGAAGAAGAGTTTATAAAAAAAAAAAAAAGACTATTTCGTAAAATCAGTCATCAAACATAATAAAAAAAGATTTAAATATTAATTTGATCTTAACTTTTAAATTTATATTAAAATTATTTTTAATTTAAAAAATAATAAAATTATTTTCAACTTTCGCAAAAGACTATCCAGACTCAAGATTTAGGCGGTAAAGTAGAGAGTAATTGAACTGCCTTTAGAATAGCTTGCCGGTTGGAACCACTGTCTATGATTCTCCGCCTCCTGGATTGAATTTGTTCCTAGAAAGGGATAGGATGGGCGTTGCTTTTCTCCGCCATTAGTTAGTGAATTTGTTTTCTTTTCACATTTATAAAAAAGAAAAAAAAAAGATTGCCTTTAGAAGAGCCCACTTAGTTCGAATGTGGGCCTTAAAACGTTTTTTCTTCCTCCTATTTCGATTATTTTTTGCCATCCTCAAATTTGTGATCTAAACCATATAAAAATGTAACACAGAACCTTATCAGTTTTACGTTTTCCATACATTCAAAAGTCAATGTGTTTGCCCACCGGACGGCAGGTCAAAAGTTTGAAATCTTCCCCCTTTACTTTCGCTTTGATTTGTTGTTCCGATGATTACGCGAGATAATACTACGAATTTCTTATAAAATTTTCTTTTAATATGTCCAAGGTTAGTTTTAAAAAATATTTCATTTATATTACCTTTTTATATTCTCTATTTA